TCTGTCCTCACCTCTTGAGAGATATCTCTCTTCTATCCCTTGGAGAGGAAGTGGTGGCGACATGGAGAAGTTAGAAGGGTTTCTTTCTTGATTCAGAGGGTGGGAGAGGGCTGCTCATGTCTTGTTGAAGGCTGAGGGGAGGATCGGACTCTTCTTTTGTCGATTGAGAGAGCTCTGTCCTCACTTCTTGAGAGCTATCTCTCTTCTATCCCTTGAGGAGGAAGAGGGGACGACAAGGAGCTCCTCTCTCTTCTTGTCGACGAAGAGGCAGCCGCAGTTCTTATTGAAACTGGAGATGCTTTGAGCCCTGTCTTCTTCGACTAGAAGCGAGCTCCCTTCAATTCTCTTCAGAGGAGATGGAGACCTACCAAGAGGTAGAGGGGCTCGCTGCTAGAAATCAGCTGAATGACTTGGAGGGACTCTCTCCGTGTTTTCGTTGAGGGTTGGGGGAATCCCTACCGTTTCTTCTTGAGCGTCAAGAAAATTACAGGATCTCTTTCCACTGCCAAGAGAGAAAGGTGGTTTCTTCTTCTTGTGCGTTGCCCTTTTCCATCTTTTGAAAAGGTAAGGGAAGTAATCAGGATCTCTTTCCACTGCCAAGAGAGAAAGGAGGTTTCTTCTTCTTGTGCGTATGCTGTTCTCCATCTTTTGAAAAGGTAAAAGAAATGCTCAAGATCCAACCCCTTATGAAGAGAGAAAGGAGTTATCTTCTTTCCGGCCGATGGGTAAACGGAGACCTTTGAATTCTCGTGAAGTTGGAGGGGCCTGTCTGCTGGGCTGAGATGAAGCTCTCTTGCGTCTCATTACATGGGAGGAAGCTCTCAGTGATTTCTTGTGGAGGATGAGGTAGAAAATCTTTCTTTTTGGAAGCTAGGGGAGCTCTGTCCTTTCTTGCTAGGAGCGAGGTCTCTTCAGTCTTCTTAAGACGAAAAGGCGACATACCAAGAGGTAAGAAGGATGCTCTCTTCTGCTGCCACAAATCACCTGGGGACTGCCTTCTTGTGTTTTGGAGCATGAGGTCTTTTCCTTTTAAATGCTGAGGGACGACCAGATGTCTCTATTTGAAAATTGGGGGGAGCTCCACCCTTTCTTCTTGAGTTGGGGGGAGCTCCACCCTTTCTTCTTGAGTGTATGCTCTCTTCCATCTTTAAAACGGCGACGGAAACAATCAGGACCCCCTCCCCATATCAGGAAAGAAAGGAGGTCTCTTCTTGCCGAAGGGTAAACGGTGCCCTCTTCTTTCTCATGAAATTAGAGCGGCCTGTTTGCTTTGTTGAGATGGCGCTTTCTTTTGTACCATTAGTTTGGAGGACGCTCTCAGTCTCTTCTTGTCGAGGATGAGGCAGAGGATTTGTCTTTTTGGAAGCTAATTCAGAGCATGGGGTAGAGGGCTGCTCATGTCTTGTTGAAGGGTGAGGGGAGGATCAGACTTTTCTTTTGAAGATTGAGCGAGCTCTGTCCTCACTTCTTGAAAGCTATCCCTCTTCTATCCCTTGAAGAGGAAGAGGGGACGACAAGGAGCTCCTCTCTCTTCTTGTCGACGAAGAGGCAGCCGCAGTTCTTATTGAAACTGGAGATGCGTTGAGCCTTGTCTTCTTCGACTAGAAGCGAGCTCCCTTCAATTCTCTTCAGAGGAGATGGAGACCTACCAAGAGAGAGAGAGGAGCTCGCTGCTAGAAATCAGCTGAATGACTTGGAGGGACTCTCTCCGTGTTTTCGTTGAGGGGTGGGGCATCGCCGCCCTTTCTTCTTGAGCGTATGCCCTTTTCCATCTTTTGAAAAGGTAAGGGAAGTAATCAGGATCTCTTTCCACTGCCAAGAGAGAAAGGAGGTTTCTTCTTCTTGTGCGTATGCTGTTCTCCATCTTTTGAAAAGGTAAAAGAAATGCTCAAGATCCAACCCCTTATGAAGAGAGAAAGGAGTTATCTTCTTTCCGACCGATGGGTAAACGGAGACCTTGAATTCTCGTGAAGTTGGAGGGGCCTGTCTGCTGGGCTGAGATGAAGCTCTCTTGCGTCTCATTACATGGGAGGAAGCTCTCAGTGATTTCTTGTGGAGGATGAGGTAGAAAATCTTTCTTTTTGGAAGCTAGGGGAGCTCTGTCCTTTCTTGCTAGGAGCGAGGTCTCTTCAGTCTTCTTAAGACGAAAAGGCGACATACCAAGAGGTAAGAAGGATGCTCTCTTCTGCTGCCACAAATCACCTGGGGACTGCCTTCTTGTTTTGGAGCATGAGGCTTTTTCCGTTTAAATGCTGAGGGATGACCAGATGTCTCTACTTGAAAATTGGGGGAGCTCCACCCTTTCTTCTTGAGCGTCCTCCCCTTTTCAAGAAAGAATGGAGGTCTCTTCTTGCCGAGGGGTAAACGGGGCCCTCTTCTTTTTTGTGAAGTTGGAGCGGCCTGTTTGCTATGTTGAGATGGCGCTTTCTTCTGCCGCCTTAGATTGCTCTTAGTCTCTTCTTGTCGAGGATGAGGCAGAGGATTTTTTTGGAAGCTAATTCAGAGGATGGGGTAGAGGGCTGCTCATGTCTTATTGAAGGCTAAGGGGAGGATCAGACTCTTCTTTTGAAGATTGAGACAGCTCAGTCCTCACTTCTTGAAAGCTATCTCTCTTCTATCCCTTGAGGAGGAAGAGGGGACGACAAGGAGCTCCTCTCTCTTCTTGTCGACTGAGAGGCAGCCGGAGTTCTTTTTTTCCCGTGAAGTTGGAAGGGTTCTCTGCTCATTTGAGATGCTGCGGTAGAGGATGTGCCAAGGGATCTCTTCCTTACCTTTTTGGGGAAAAGAAGCTCATTTCTTGCGGATGACGAAGCAGCGAGCTCCCTTCATTTATCGTCAGAGGAGATGGTGGGAGGAAGCTCTCAGTGATTTCTTGTGGAGGATGAGGTAGAAAATCTTTCTTTTTGGAAGCTAGGGGAGCTCTGTCCTTTCTTGCTAGGAGCGAGGTCTCCTCAATCTTCTTAAGACAAAAAGGCGACATACCAAGAGGTAAGAAGGATGCTCTCTTCTGCTACCACAAATCACCTGGGGACTCCCTTCTTGTTTTGGAGCATGATGTCTTTTCCTTTTAAATGCTGAGGGATGACCAGATGTCTCTACTTGAAAATTGGGGGAGCTCCACCCTTTCTTCTTGAGCGTCCTCCCCTTTTCAAGAAAGAAAGGAGGTCTCTTCTTGCCGAGGGGTAAACGGAGCCCTCTTCTTTCTCGTGAAGTTGGAGCGGCCTGTTTGCTTTGTTGAGATGGCGCTTTCTTCTGCCCCTTTAGATTGCTCTTAGTCTCTTCTTGTCGAATCCTCGAGGCAGAGGATTTTTTTGGAAGCTAATTCAGAGGATGGGGTAGAGGGCTGCTCATGTCTTATTGAAGGCTAAGGGGAGGATCAGACTCTTCTTTTGAAGATTGAGACAGCTCAGTCCTCACTTCTTGAAAGCTATCTCTCTTCTATCCCTTGAGGAGGAAGAGGGGACGACAAGGAGCTCCTCTCTCTTCTTGTCGACTGAGAGGCAGCCGGAGTTCTTTTTTTCCCGTGAAGTTGGAAGGGTTCTCTGCTCATTTGAGATGCTGCGGTAGAGGATGTGCCAAGGGATCTCTTCCTTACCTTTTTGGGGAAAAGAAGCTCATTTCTTGCGGATGACGAAGCAGCGAGCTCCCTTCATTTATCGTCAGAGGAGATGGTGGGAGGAAGCTCTCAGTGATTTCTTGTGGAGGATGAGGTAGAAAATCTTTTTTTTGGAAGCTAGGGGAGCTCTATCCTTTCTTGCTAGGAGCGAGGTCTCCTCAATCTTCTTAAGACGAAAAGGCGACATACCAAGAGGTAAGAAGGATGCTCTCTTCTGTTGCCACAAATCACCTTGGGACTCCCTTCTTGTGTTTTGGAGCATGAGGTCTTTTCCTTTTAAATGCTGAGGGATGACCAGATGTCTCTACTTGAAAATTGGGGGAGCTCCACCCTTTCTTCTTGAGCGTCCTCCCCTTTTCAAGAAAGAAAGGAGGTCTCTTCTTGCCGAGGGGTAAACGGAGCCCTCTTCTTTCTCGTGAAGTTGGAGCGTCCTGTTTGCTTTGTTGAGATGGCGCTTTCTTCTGCCCCTTTAGATTGCTCTTAGTCTCTTCTTGTCGAGGATGAGGCAGAGGATTTTTTTGGAAGCTATCTTATTGAAGGCTAGGGGGAGGATCAGACTCTTCTTGTGAAGATTGAGACCAAGCCGCCGAAGAGTCTGCCGGCGACTTCTCGCTCGAAGCGCTGGCCTGGAAGCCGCATATCGATCAGAACGATCGGCGGCCGCGTTGGCCTTAGCGCGGGCTCAGCCACGACATTTCAGCATCGCACACGAAACCCGGACAGCTCAGTCCTCACTTCTTGAAAGCTATCTCTCTTCTATCCCTTGAGGAGGAAGAGGGGACGACAAGGAGCTCCTCTCTCTTCTTGTCGACTGAGAGGCAGCCGGAGTTCTTTTTTTCCCGTAAGTTGGAAGGGTTCTCTGCTCCTTTGAGATGCTGCGGTAGAGGATGTGCCAAGGGACCTCTTCCTTACCCTTTTGGGGATAAGAAGCTCATTTCTTGCGGACTTGCGGATGACGAAGCAGCGAGCTCCCTTCATTTATCGTCAGAGGAGATGGAGACTTACAGGGAGGTAGAGGAGCTCGCTGCTAGGAATCAGCTGAATGATTTGGAGGGACTTTCTCCGTGTTTTCGTTGAGGGTTGGGGGGAATCTCCACCCTTTCTTGATCCGTCTGTCTACATTCCAAGGAGCCCCACCAATGTCGATGAGGCGAGACGAAAGATTCTATACTTGTATTGAGTATGTATAGAGAGACGTCGGTCCAGTACAATCGCGATATACCTACGTCTATAGTATGCAATGAAAACCCACAGTTTCAGCTGGCGACTATATCCTGTTTAAGCCGGCCACGGGGGGGGGGGGGGAAATGCTTCGCGAGAAAGCACGCTCTGCAAACGATTCTCCGTTCTAAAGGCTCAGGGCTCAGGGTGTCGCGGCTGTGTCCTCTTTGAGGCTTCCGGCGATGATGATGCCTTGTCCTGTGGTTGCTACGCGAGAAGATCACACATGTCCCTGTCCCGGCGATTAGCGAGCCTGGAGCCCGGCCAGCTGCTGCCAGCAAAGCTCGAAGCTGCAGTTGCGAGCCCTTGTGGCTTGCCTGACCGAAACGCAATGTGCTCCATGCACTCGTTGCGCGACATCGTGACTGGGCCTGGATCGCTACAAGGCATGCGGCTCGTGCCTGCATATCAACATACTCGAGCACAACTTTTTCGCGCGGCAATACTGGCAACCTGCCACAGGCCCATCAGTGGTAGCAGGATGGAAAGCGCAGCAAGCAGAACCTGACATTGAGCGCATCGAAGACACCAAGCAACGTTGAGACTCGACTGCTCTACGTAAGTCACCCCGCCCTTGCAGAATTCTGGGATATCCACGCCGTCCTTAGATGCTCGCAAGCGTGACGAGTATAGAAGATAGCCTGAGGAAAGCTTCTCGGACGCGGACGTCCCACCATCAACAATCTGTACCTTCAGCAACTGCCTCGCACGATGCTGAAACGGACTCTTCAAGCCCTTCCAAGCCTTCCATGCCTTGCACTTCCTTGCACCCGTCCTGCGAGACCAAAGAAAGCCTCTGTTTCGGGGCAGCTCAAGTCGTCCTCGTGCAATGCTCGCAGAGCTCGCTGGAGGCAGGCGCCTCTCGGCTTCAGGACGCTTCGACCGTCGACCCACGGAGAAGGCTCCACTTAAACTGCTATGGTGGAGGCACGATGTGACTGGCATTCACTATACTGTAGCAGACCCAAGCGCCTCCGCAAGCGCATTGGACCTTGATTTGGTCAAACCCATTAATGCTTAAACTGCTGCTCTTGCTGAGGTGAGAGCTGGCTGTGAAATTCACTTCCTGAGGTTGACGGGACTGACAAGACATGCACACAAAGCATCACAAAATGCTGGCCAGGGTCCATTATCTGATACATGGGAACCCGCATCATGGAGCTGCAGTGGCGGTGGACGTAGCACCAACGTTCTGTGGATGCCTCGTATGTTTGGCTGTTTGGCTGGGCCAACGTTTAACGGCCAGAGTGGACTGCGCCAAGAACTTGCTCTCATTGCTGTGTCTGCGACTGGCCCGCCCCAGGAGATGAACCGGCAGGCCCAGTCTGCCAACTCCTGCGAAAAGGTGCTCCAGTCCGAACCCCACCTCACCTCGTCTGACCTCGCCTCGCAAGCGAGCTTGCAATCTGCGAGGGAGAGCTTCGTCGACCAGTGCCATCCCACGGTCGCATCCAAGTCGTAGCTGCCCTGCAGAGTACTACACACCTTGACAGATTGACAGCGCACCCCAGTGTATCGTCTTCCTCCCTCTGCCCAAGAGGGATGGTTGGCGTTCAAATGGGCCGCCCTGCGGCATGCTACATTTATACGGCTGCATCAAAGCTCCAGTACGGTGAATGTTGATTGAAAGCCCAGGCGAGGGGCAGTGAGGGCCAATGCTTTCCTAAACAGGCTGCACGACGCCATCACTGTATTCCGCTTTGCGACAACACAACTTGAGCCGGTCCGCTCATTTTGTTCGGACGGTCTCCGGTGTTTTTTGGTTTCAGCCGTCTCTGCTTGGTCACGTGCCTCGGGCCGTGTCTCTTGCGCAAGGTCGGGCTCTGCGCAGAAATGGCCGGTGCTCCACAGGCTCCACTCCTCGGCTGCAAAGCCAACACTTTGTGAATGGACGTGACGGGACACGTTGAACATACGGTCAAGTCGAGCCAGGTCCGACGACTAGATGGAAGGCTCATCGAAACACGTCTACTACAGTACTCACGACAGCCACAGATGATTACGATCTGGAGACCGATTCCTGGTCACCCTGCAGACTCTCGGCCATACGCACAGCAGAACACGCAGCAAGCATCCACATGAGTGCAGAGTATATCGTCTTGATGCGGAGATCCTGTTTGTGGGCTGTTGCTAGTGATGGCTCACGGCGCCCTTCATGCATGTGTTGGAGTGGATCGCTGTGCGTAGCGGCGTAGCGTGCAGTTTGACCGGTCACGTTTTCCTGCCCCTGCCCAGCCACGGCAGCCACCGAGGCAAAGGCGGGTGCGGACGGTGCTCTGTGAAGTCTCGGGGCCGCAGCGCCGAACGTGATGCGCGTCGTCTGGGCCGGGGCCATCTTCTGCAAGCCTATCTCTCCCCCCCTTTTGGCTGTGTTGCTTCAGGGTCCGGAGTGCTCCGGGATTGGGATGCCGATCGGCATCGCTCCGTCCCTGGTCCGAACTCCAAATCCTCTCGCCTCTCTTGTCTTCGACGCAAAACTCGGCTGCTCCTCACGCTACACACTGCCAAGTTGGGTTTCGGAGCACATGTGTCTCAGGGAGTTTTGTATGTCGAACCCCGGCTGTCTGGGGGGCCTTCCAATAAACTTACCCTTGGAGTTTGGGTGGCTTTAGTCCTCGATACTCTCAGCGTCTCACCTGTGAGGGAGCGCGTGAGCTCATCGAGAGCTCTGTGGTGGACGTCGTTGATGTTGCGGACGGAGAGTTAGCCTGTCGCACCGCTAATTCGCAGTATTTCGCCGCGGTCGGTCATCGCCAACCTCAGTCGATGAGGTTGTCGAAAACCCGCGCCACACCACCTAGCTGCAACAAAATGCATGAGGTCTCCGAGCAAAAGCTTGCACGCCTCTGAGTCGTCTGTGGTGCCAGGCTGAAACGGAGGGATAACCTTGGAGTGACGGAAAGGGCTTGAGAAGTTTCGTGAAACCTTGCCGGGCAGTTTACCGCAAACGAGTGACCGGACGAGGGGAAGTTCTGACAGATACTTCTGTTGTCGCTGACGTCGTCATGTCGGAGGGCGGGCGCGTCGTACCTTCAGGGAGGTCAGCGTCGAGCCATGTCCGCATGTGCGATCGCCATCATCACAATCATCATCGTCATCATCATCATCATCAGCATCACGACACGCCATGCTCCACTGCAAGGCTCTGCATGTCAGGGCCGCAGGTCGGTGCAAATTCCGAGGTAGTCTGAGGGCTATGTTGTGTCAGTTTGACATATCCGACATATCCACCAAGCACAAAACGGCCTGCTGGCTCAATCGCATCATCTGGAGATCGGCGGAACCAACGACCGGAAAGAAACCAATTATACGAGATCCCAGAAGCATAAAGGCCAGAGGCACAGTTTCTCTCTTGTAAATCAAAGACTGGTCAAACCATGTTTCATTCGTCAGGAACAAGCCTATGTTCAGCATTTGGCACGTGGCTACGTACGCCTTGCGGCACCGGGGTGCCTGTACTCGTATTGCTTGGCATTGCTGTTGGCACCTGCGCAAGTGCGCAATCTGGGACTGGAATCCAACCATGATGCGGAAGGCCTCAGCCACCACGTAGCTCAGGAGGATGGGCACCTCAAGTCGGGAAAGGAAACCATCAAGCTGCAGCTTACCCACTGGGACAAGCCAGGCTCAGGATCTGTCAGACAGGTTTGTAAGCATGCCGATCGCAAGGACAGCCGCCTCGATCAAAGTCGCTTACCGTACGTAACCTTACAATGCTTTCAAGACAACCCCAGAAACCACCTTCGCGACATTTGCTTTTCCTTTGCAGCCATCTTCGCATTCAGCTGTTGAGCTGCTGCTGATACAACACTTTCTTTCCTGGCCCCTCCAGCAGTGTCACTTTGCCTGCCAGTACTTGCCTGACAATAATTGGAACAATAAACGTTCTGAACCTCACATCGAGACCTGCTTCGGATCCAATCCGCTGACTGCAGGCACGCACCATCATAGCAGAAGCGTGGCCACTATGCCCCAGCAGCAAGAGGACCTCATGCGAAGAACCAGACTCTACCCCGAGGTGTGATCTCTCAGCATGTGATTTGAGTGACGAAGGACCACTTGGAGGGTAAGAAGCGAGATAGTCCCCTCCGATTCGTGGTCAGTGGTCATGCATGTCGCTGCTTTGTTTCGGAGCGCTCTATCTCCAACTCGGTCCCCTCAAAATGAAGCGGTGAAGAAATGCCGGGCTTAGAACCGCAATTGCCCAATGCGGAACATCACTTTTTCGTGCAATGTCTGTTATTAATTCTGAGACCGGTTAAAACAATCAGCTCCATTGTCAACCGTTTCTTCTTCTGTCTGTCTGTCTATCTGTCCGTCTCTGCCTGTCTTTCTTTCGCCAGGGCTTGGGGGAACGCCTCACCTGTTGTGGGACGGTCACACACGTCAGGGTTTTTGTGTGCGAGTTCCTCTCTCTCTCCTGGGCTTTGGAGGCGTCCGAAACCCCCCGGGCTGAAAGCCCACCCATGTTTCTTGGCTTCGCAGGGAAACGCGTGAACCCCGACGCCGACACCGAGTCCCACGCGGAAGTGCAGTATTTGCAGAATGTGTTTCCCCACTGACTCGGCTTCGAATGCGACATCACAGCTCTGCAGTGGTCCCCCTGCGGATGATGATTGTATGTAGGAAACAGTAAACATGTGCAGTCCATCCTTTGTCTGAAAACATGCATGCACCACTGGATCTGAGGAATGGGGTGTTCAGGAAAGGAACTCAGCCAACCATCAAATACGTGGATACAAGCTGGTGTCATATGCCCCTTCTCGTGGAGAGACAGTCAAGGGACGAGTCTGCGTGGGCGGTCCCCCCGCCTATTGGCGCACCGGGACACTCGGGCTGAACAACCCAAGCGCGCAGGAAAGACATTGTGCTGGGAACTGTGACCTGGGGCCGCGACTCACTGCTTGTATAACAGCGGTCTGTACTGTCAGGGTGTCCCGCTTTGCAATCACCAACCATACGACCGCAGTTCACTGAAAGCAACACCGTGACATGACTCGTGCAAAAAGCTGGCTACGAGCACCGGACAACAAGATCTCTCTCTTCGCTTCGCTTTGCAGTCTCTTAAGCACAAACCTTGGTCCCTCTCCGAACACTTCCCCTTGTTGACCCAGCGGTTTGTGACAGGATTCCCCCTTTCCGCAACAACAAAAAGAACCAAGGCCTGGACAGCGATATAACGGCAGGATCCCAGTATATGATTACACCTGGACGGTGTCTTGTACTGGAAAACGACAAAAACGGTAAAAGGGTGGTGGTTCCCCCGTGGTACAGCAACACCAGGAAACACAAACCGTGCAGTAACAAGTATGGCGGGTTCCCCAGCGTGTCCCCAAGTAGAGAGGTAGCGAATTGGCATCAGGGTCCCTTTTCAAAGGTATAGCGGTTTGCAGCAGTGTAAAGGTGGGGTGCAGGATGGCGCCCCGATAGGTAGTGGCTTTGGCTCAGCGGCGCCCGTCAGAATTACGCTTGTCGTTTGCAAGCAACTTGCAACCAAGCAAAAGGTGCAGCTCTTGTGCCAAAATGGCTCTCTCTCTCTCTCTGCTTTGCTTTGCTCCGGGCAGGGCCATGGCTCTCTCTCTCTCTCTCTCCTGGGCTTGGGGACGGGGCCAGCCCACCCACTACATTGAGTGAGTTCTGCGGGGAGTGAAAGGCGAGTGTAATGTTCCTCTTGGGCTAAGGCCATAAAGTATACCATAGCGAATATCGAGGTACACGTACACTGTCTTTGAAATGTTGCTGCCTTCGTAAGGAAGCTTTGGCTCTTGCTTGCTTGCTTGCGAAGGGGTACACACACCCCGGCCTGAAGGCCAACCCCCCACGGCTCGCAACTGTCCAATGTCCTCGCGGCCCCTCTCGGGGTGGGTTGACTGGCACGTTCCCTCGAGTGACCCTGTGTACCCTGTCCCCCCAGCCGAACCTGCCAATGACCATTACCATCAGAACCCAAGCAGGTGTCACTCGAGTCATCCGTGGTCTGCCCCAACAGGTCAGCTACGCAGGATCTGGCTTCCGCACGACTGCAATCGACTTCATGAACACACACTCAGTACTACACTTAGTACGCTCTCCTGGACCCCACGTGGCCCCGCCTTACCTGCCTCCCCACCTCATCCCGAACTGAACCTTGCGCAACTGCACTGCCTCCCACACTCCCCTGAAGCCTGGCTTTGTCGCCCCCTCGGAACTCTGCAGGGTAAGTCAAGCCTCTACGACCCATGACTGTTAGGCATTGTGTTGCTCCAGTGGGGGCTGCTATCCTTGCTCCCCATAACCTTGACTGGGCCCCACAGACGACACTGTACCGCCACTGACAATGTGTCGTCCTGGTGCAGGGAGCTGGGGTTAGTGAAACTGCGGCGTCTCTGACCCCACTCAGGTGTTGGTCTGTCAGAGGGGCTTGCGGCGGGTCGCGTAGTCTCCTCGAGCCGCAAACACCAATTCCACGTCCTCCCCCTAGTCTCCTACTCCTACATTCCATTTTTCCTACTCTTCTACTCCAACTATTCCTACTCTCCTATTCCTACTCTCCTACTCCTACTCTCCTACTCCTACTCTCCTACTCCTATCCTCCTATTCCTATTCTCCTATTCTCTTACTCCTACCCTCCGACTCCTACTCTCCTACTCCTACTCTCCTACTCCTATCCTCCTATTCCTATTCTCCTATTCTCTTACTCCTACCCTCCGACTCCTACTCTCCTACTCCTACTCTCCTGCTTCTACTCTCCTCCTCCTACTCCTACTCTCCTACTCTCCTACTCCTACACTCCTACTCCTACTGTCCTACTCCTACTACATCTTCGGTTGATGGTGCTGGTGGTCGTGGCCCTTCCCTTGCCTGTCCCCCGCATCTGCCTTGGGCTGCGCTCCCCGTTGCGGGGTCTGCCATGCTTGGTCTGCTGCTGCTTCTGTTTCGTTACTTACTGTGCGCTGGAAGGCAGCTTATGTTTACAGGCAGAACAGCCAGAATGCAAACACGCATTTTTCTTGAGCCAATTACACGACGGTACAGACGGTAGACTAGCTACATCTTCCACAAAATACACCCCCCGCGCATCTTAGTGCAACGGTAGAGGCGAAGGCGATGGAAGGAAAGACTAGTCGCTAGACCGTCGTAAGAGAATCACTTTGTGATCTCAACAAAAGCTTTCAAACATAAACAAATTTCCGCGGCCATGATTTTGCGCCCTTGCGAAAGGTAGAGGTAGAGCTGGTCTGCAACCAACCCGTTAGGGCGGTGCCAGAGCTTAAAATATCACTTCACTTCTAACCAGACGGCATCTAAAGGATCTCAGAATACCATCCCGTTAGGGAGGTGATGAATGCTCGGCACGATAGGCCTTGCGCATGGGACCTCAGTAGATTCGGTCACGACGGCCAGTACGATAGTTGTACACCTCGTGGACCCATCCGGAGATGTACCACTGCACGTGGGAAGTGTCCAGCACAGTGAACCCGTGTAGATTGCCATGCGTAGGGATGGCGTTGATCACGGATGTTGGCTGAATATACTCCTCGGTCATCGCTGCGAAGACCGCCCACTGGTACATGTCCACACGGTGCCAGTCCGTTCGTCTGGCAAGGCTCGGATCGATGACATTCCCTGAAAGGTCGTTGCCGAGAACGAAGTTCGGATACAACAATCCAGCGACAAGCAATTGGTCAAAGAACTCGACCACGGTCTCCCTCATCCGGACCTCTCGGTCGGAGACATTCCTTGTCTCAAAGAATACGCCAAATGTTGGAGGGTCGTTGGGGCGGCGACGGTAGGTCTCTGCCCAGTCCCGCCTGGCCGTGAGGTCGACGTGGGAAGACGGGGCCTCGCTCACGGTGTCATCAATGGTTGTGCTGGGAGCAACCGTTTCCGGCGCTGGATCCTGGAATCCTGTTCCAGAGCGCATGGCGTCCCAGTCTGCATCGCTGATGTAATCCGAGGGGTCACGGTTGACACGTCTTGGAGGTGGCATCGCCGGTTCTCTTGGAACGCGATCGGTCGATGAGCCAGCCGAATCTCCAGGATGAGTCCGAATGTGGACTTCTGTAGGGCGGTGCCTTGCAATCGGGGATCTGGTGCGATTGCGCTCGGTTGATCCCGTTGCACGCTCGTCAGAGCTGCGACCACGCTTCGAAGGAGAGGCTGGTGGCACAGGAGGGCGGCGCTCTGAGGCAGGTGCCGATGTGGTCAACCGCACATGGCCGCTCTCGCCGATACGCTTGTCCATATAATACTGCTGATACCGCCGATAGTACGGCGTGTTGGCCAGAAGTTCATTCAACTGGCGCTTGCCGAGGCCTTGGGCTTCTGGTGGTACCTGCAGGTTTCCCTGGGTGTGAAGAGATGGATGAGCACTCTCGATTCTTGTCCGGCTCATCGGAAGCTGGTTCTTGAAGAACGTAGCCAGCTCAGCCATAATAGGCAAGATCTCATTCTGCTTGACAACATACTTTTCTCCGTCGTACTGCAGAATGGAGAACTCGTGCTGATTCGATTTTACAGCCTTAATGAGAACTGCAATCTCGTTGATGGTGTAGAACCGATCATGAAAGCAAATCAGACACTCCGTGAGGAGGTCGATCGAAAGCTGGCCCGTCACCCAAAGGAGGGCAACTTTCCCCGTGGCATCATAGTAGGTGGACGACCCATGTCCTTTGCCCTTGCCTTGCGGGTCGGGCAGCCTCACGTCAGCGAAGCGTTGCAGCGCCTCGACAGTGTGAAAGCTGAGACCCATCTTGGCATAGTTGTGGGCAGTGATGGGGTCCGCACTGTATTGCCCCTGAGGGGTAGTGTTGTGCAGCTTCTCGGCTCTCTTCTGTTGATTGAGAACCTTTTGGCGAATGCCTGATGCCGTACTCTGGATTCGTTCCCTTTCTTCAGGACCTTGGGTCTTCACTCGTTGGCGAGCGAGTCCAGCAGAGGGCTGCAGGTCGATGATGTTAACCTGCCTACCCTCTCGGGCGGCGCTTCTGCGAAGCCGGTCAGGTTCGG